ATCCCAATTCCATTTATTTAATCCTGATTCCATCTCCTTCATCCCAGCTCCATTTACGTTATTTCCATCTCCTTCATTTCCATTCCATCTCCTCCATCCCCACCTCCTCCACTCTGGCTCCATTTATTTAATCCTCATTCCATCTCTTCCATCCTGGCTCCATTTCCTTTATTTCCATCTCCTCCATCCCTGCTCCATCTCCTTCATCCTGGCTCCATTTATTTAATCCTGATTCCATCACTTACATCCTGGATCCATTTCCATTTTTTCCATCTCCATCTCCTCCATCCCCATTCCATTCCTCATCCCGTCTCCATTTTCTTTATTTCCATCTCCTCCATCCCCATCTCCTCCATCCCTACTCCATATTTTCCATCCTTACTCCACCGCCTCCATTTCCTCCATCCCGATTCCATTTATTTCATCGTGATTCCATCCCCTCCATCCCCATCTCCCTCCCTGCTTGCTCCAGCCACGCTCCCTGGAGACACTTCCCAAAGATCAGCGAGGAGCGGGGAGGTGAAGCGCTCCCGGTTTTGACGGACAGTGATGGATGGCTCCGTGTGTTTGTCATATCAGGTGCTCCTGGCACTGCTTTTCCACGGGCTAAAAATACATCCCATAACTGTGGGAGAGGTCCCAAGCTGCCCGTGGCCAGATTGATGGATCTGCTCAGCCCTGAAAAGCTCCAGCTTCCTTTGGTTTCATCTTCCGAGGAAGCGTCTGGGCCCCGGAGATAAAAAATATTGGATTTTTGGCATCAAATAATAATACAGGTGTCCATGAAAAAACAGATCCCTATAAATGCATCAGCGAATATTGGATAAATCATGGAATTATGGGATGCTTTGGGATGGAAGGGACTTCAAACCACCACAATCCACCCCCTGCCATGGGCAGGAACACGTCCCACTGTGCCAGGCTGCTCCAGCCTGGCCTTGGGCACTGCCAGAGATCCAGGGGCTTCTCTGGGAATTCCAGCCCAGCCAGGAATTCCCAATTCCCAATCTCCCAGCCATCCCTGCCTCTGGCAGTGGGAGCCATTCCCTGGCTCCTGTCCCTCCATCCCTTGTCCCCAGTCCCTCTCCAGCTCTCCTGGAGCCCTTCAGGCCCTGCCAGG